ATTCATGATTTTCTCATTGCTGATATGGAAAAGGAACGACAAAGAAAAATAATTTTAAATAGAGAGTATTTACAAAGTAAAAAGGATCAGAAAGCTGCGGATAAATTAATTTTGGACTCCTACGTATTTATGGCTCGTGGAGAAGGAACCACGTCAACAAAGACCGAAAAGGGGAGCATTGCTCCGGAGGCTCAATCCTTGAAAAAGGAGGAAGCGCCCAAGGAATCTGCCGAAATCAAGGTTCCAGAAGTACCCAAACGCACAAGGGTGCCAGATGCCATTAAAAGGAAATTGGCGGCCGAGAAACAGAAGGGCCCCCAGCCCAGCAGACTGGCGCAGGAATTGCGCAACTACCAGGCCGAAAGGAAGAGACATTCGATGGACGTATATGTCCAGATCACAGGCCTGGACTCAGGAAAGACGCGCGGAGTTAAGGCGCTACTCGACAGTGGCTGTAGCACCTGCTGCATCGATACCGACTACGCGCGGGCAGAGAAGCTGGATATCCAAGAACTTCCCCAACCCATTGTGGCTCGTAACGCCGACAACACCAAAAACATCAGCGGCCGAATCACGCATTACGTTGACCTAAGGATGAGAATCGGTCCTCACGTGGAGACACGCACATTCCTTCTGACGTGCTTAGGGAAGGCCCGGATCTTCATTGGTCTTGACTGGCTGACGGAACACAACCCGGAGGTGGATTGGCAGGAGCAAACGATGAGATTCAGCCGATGCCCAGAACAGTGTCACATGAGGGGTCACGAGGAACACCAAGCAATGATTGACATGGATGCGATCGACCTGGACACAAGCGCACCGGATCTGGAAGAGGGAGAATCGATCCTGCTGATCGACTTTGGAAAGGAGGTGGATCTACGGCTGAAGGAAACACCGGCGCAGAAATTCGCAGAAGAAGCGGAAAGAGAGAAGGAGAGGATGACCGAAGGGAAAATTCCGGATCAATACCGGGAATTCGTCAAAGTATTTGCCAAGGAATCATTCGACTCACTACCGGACCGACGAACCTGGGATCATGCGATTGAGCTCAAACCCGGTTCCAAAGCAGTGGACTGCAAGGTGTACCCGCTATCACGAAACGAGCAGGTCAAACTCGACGAGTTCTTACAAGAGAACCTGGCCAGCGGACGAATCAGGCCATCAAAATCACCCATGGCCTCAGCATTCTTCTTCGTCAAAAAGAAAGATGGTTCGCTACGTCCCGTCCAGGATTATCGGAAGCTGAACGAGATGACAATCCGAAATCGATACCCGCTGCCACTGATCTCCGAGCTGGTCCATAATCTATGCGGCGCCAAGTTCTTCACCAAGCTCGACATCCGATGGGGATACAATAACGTACGGATCAAAGAGGGTGACGAGTGGAAGGCTGCGTTCCGCACGAACCGTGGACTGTACGAGCCCTTGGTCATGTTTTTTGGTCTCACGAACTCCCCGGCTACCTTCCAAAACATGATGAACGACATACTCCGAGAACTGATCAACGAAGGACACGTGGTAGTCTATCTGGACGATATACTGATCTTTACAGAGAACTTGGATGAACATCGGCGGATCACGAAACGAGTGCTCGAATTGCTCCAGAAACACAAGCTATACCTGAAGCCCGAAAAGTGCGAGTTCGAACGCACGGAAATCGAATATTTGGGTGTAATTATTGGACACAATTCGATGCGGATGGACCCAGTCAAAATCAAGGGCGTGATGGAATGGCCAGAACCAAAGAGTGTCAAACAGGTCCAAGCTTTCCTCGGATTCACAAACTTCTATCGGCGCTTTGTCCGGGGATATGCGGAGGTTGCCAAGCCGTTGACACGGCTGACAGGGAAGGCAGGATGGTCATGGGGTGCAGATGAGCATGCGGCATTTGATGGATTGAAGAAGAGAATCGCGGAGGATGCGGTCCTAGCACTGCCAAATGACACTGGCCAATATCGTCTGGAAGCCGATGCTTCGGAAGGGGCAACAGGATCAGTTTTGAGCCAAAACCAAGACGGCATTTGGCGCCCAATCTCATTTATTTCGCACGCACTGACCGAAACCGAGCGAAATTACGAGATCTACGACAAGGAAATGCTTGCAATCATGCTATCATTGGACGAATGGAGGCAGTTACTCCTGGGAGCCACGGAAACGTTCGAGATCTTCACCGATCATCAGAATCTCGAGTACTTTCGGAAGCCGCAGAAGCTCAATCAACGGCAAGCACGATGGATCACGGAGTTGGCGGAATTCGATTTCACCTTACGACACCGACCCGGCGCACTCAACCGCAAGGCGGACCTCCTGTCCCAACGAGCAGATCACGATCAGGGCAAGAACGACAACAAGGACGTCACGCTACTGAAGCCCGAGTTCTTCCGATCACAAGAAGTCACATTCGAGGGACAGGATCAGCAGCTAATCGACGAAATCAAGGCCATTCGATCAATTGATGGAAGCGTCAAGGCGGCCTTAGAGAAGTCACTCATCGGATGGAAGAAGGAAGAGGGGCTTATCACGTACCATGGGAAGCTCTACGTACCAAGGGACGAGGAGTTGCGGGACAAAATCATTGGACTACACCGCGACACCCCTTTGGTCGGACACGCCGGGATCAACCGAACGCAGGAGATGGTGGAAAGGAACTACTGGTGGCCAAGGATGGGAAACCAAATTCGGAAATACATCCAGACGTGCGAAGCGTGCCAGCGAGCCAAGACCAGAAGAGCCAGGACAGGGAGTTTGCACCCGCATGCAGTTCCAAACGCACCATGGGAAATCATCTCCATGGATCAGATTGGACCCTTGCCGGTCAGTAACGGGTATGACGCAATTCATGTGTGGTGTGACACCTTCACCAAAATGATCCATGTCGAACCAATTAGTACTGACATCAGCAGCGAAGGAGTGGCACGACTAACCAGGGACCGAGTCTTCCGCTACCACGGGATCCCTCGCAAGATCATCACCGACAGGGATTCGCGTTACATCAAGGGCTTCATGAGGGAGACGAATCGGATGTTGGGCGTGGAAATGAATCCGGGGACCGCATATCACCCGATCACGGATGGGCAGACAGAACGCATGAATCAGGAGATCGAGCATTATCTCCGCATCTACGTCAATTACCATCAGACGGACTGGTCGGAGTGGCTGGGAATGGCGGAGTTCGCATACAACGATAAAATGAACACATCTACCAAAATATCGCCATTCTATGCGAATCATGGATATCACCCATGGAAGGGAGTGGAGCAACGGATGGAGTCGAGAAACGAGTCGGCGGAGGAATTTGTAAAAAGAATGAAAGAAATACAAGACGAAGCAAAAACAGCACTAGAAAAAGCAAATGAAAAAATGAAAAAATACTACGATAAACAAAGAAAAGAAGTTCCGGAGTTGAAGGTTGGGATGAAGGTGTACATAGAAGGGGAAAATATCGAGACGGATCGACCATCAAAAAAGATGAGCGACAAGAGACTAGGGCCATACGAGATATTGGAGAAGGTTGGAGCGGCCGCATGGAAGCTGGATTTACCGGACACGGACCGAAGACATCCGGTGTTCAACGAGTCACTATTGACACCCTCTCACGAACCACCCCCCCATCGCCGAGAGAAGAGGCCTGTAGCCAAGATGATCGGAGGAGCAGAGGAGTGGGAAGTCGAAGAGATCGTGAAAGAGCGAAACGTCGGCCGAGGAAAACAGTACTTGGTCAAATGGAAGGGATGGCCGCATAGCGAGAACACCTGGGAACCATCACGTCACCTTACCCACGCGAAGAAGGTCCTGAGAGATTGGCAGAGGAAACAATCCAACCCAGACACACGCATTCGCCTCCTGCCAACTCTCGAAGCCGGACATTGGGATTACCTCATCCATCGCTACAAACCCAAAGACGAGCGCCTTCCATATCCTCAGCGACAACTCTTCGATCCGTATGAAAACGTCTTCACGCCCATTGGCCTAGTCGATGAGGACATCGACCCTAGAGAGGGGGTAATGTCATAATTCGACTCTTTTTCATCTTATCATCGACGATCTTATCTTATCTTGGCACGACCTATCTTATCACGGATCACGGCATCAGACGACCCGGGCTAGGGGTTCCAGGGGTTATCTCTATCGATTCGAGGCTGCGCGACATATGCTCCGGAAGGTTCTACTACAACCCATGACCAGTGCTCCATGCGGTACATAGCCCTATGACTCATTAGTTGTAGATATGACTCAGACTGGATTTGGGTATAAATACTGTAGCTACTTGGTTGTATTCTCCAGTCTTCGAATTCACTTCTCTTTTTGACTTTGTTTTTGGGTTGACTGTCACAGATTTGAGTTTGAGTTGAGACATCAGAAAGTCGGATTCGCCGCATCTGGTTTAGTCGCGGCATTTAGTGTCGTCGCCTTCGGGCTTTGTTGAGATCGTTTCCACACCTCTAGCTTGGCAGTGCGTCGACTAGTTGTGCTCGGGTTGTTTTTGGTCAGTTGGCAGTGCGTCGACTTGAGAACTTTGGTTCCACACTTCTTGCTTGGCAGTGCGTCGACAAGTTGTGCTCGGGTTTTGGACATTGGATATTGGCTGTCAGTTGGCAGTGCGTCGACTTGACATTTTGGTTTACTAGTTGGCAGTGCGTCGACTCAGTATATTGATTGTATCGGTTGGCAGTGCGTCGACTTGATATTTGGGCTTTGCGTCGCCATCTGGACGCTGTTGCTACAAGGGACCTTAATACTTCGTATTAAGTTCTGACTTGTTATATTGTTGTTGTGGATTGGATTAGTGTTGATTGTGTTCATATAGAAGGTATTGGTTGAGATACCATTGTTTTGCTATATATATATCCTTGTCGTCGACTTCGTCTCCGCGACTATTGGATCTGTGTCTATTGAGAGTTGTGATACTGGTGCTCTGTCCACCCCGAAGCCCTCGCATCTTTCACACACTGAGAAGCTGATTACGAGGAGTGTGAACGTGTTTATATTTGGGTTTACTTTCATAGTAGATTCACTTGTGAGCGCGCCCTCAGCATTTCACCGCAGTGGAGACACACAAACTCCCATCTATGACTGCCTCCGGTAGCAATGATTGCACGCGGTGGTCGGAAGTGGGTGAGGGTGTCAGACTTCGGGCCCTGCTTCCCTCCTAGCCCAGGCGCTAGATTGTCATCCTCGTCCTCGTCAATATCAATGACCTCGACTGCAGGACCAGTCTTTGCCGCAGCACCCATCTTTTTGGCTCGTTTCTGCAGGGTACATCAGCAAAAGCATGGCAGTGCACAAATGGCACCTCACAGATGGTGCTGGCGCTGCCTTTCCATCGACCAATAGATGTTTTTGAGGGCGCCGAGGTGTCTGTGATGTGAGGCAAAGAGATGAGGACAGATGACAGTCAGTACATCAAGCGACGTACCGGAAGCCCTAGATCTTCAATCTCCGTGAGCTCAAAGTCATCCTCCTCCTCCTCCGATGCATTGTTTGGCGCTCGTGGCAGATAATCGCTGTCATTGTCGCTACTGGCGTTCGTAGTAGTGGTCGCTGCCTTCTTCTTCCCTCTGCCCTTCTTCCCTGTTGCTGTGTCAAGGATTGCTGTATGACCAATGATGAGTATTGAGCTCCTAAGATAGAAGCAGAAACGTACCGTCTGCAAGACGTTCGAGATCTGTGAGTGGACGTGGTCCAGGAGCTTTCTTTCCCTTTGGTTTCTCGCTTGGTGGGTTCCCGGTCGAGCTGGTCAAGCGTGAGAAAAGTCAACAGCGCAAGAAGCCCATCACACACCAGAGATGCCGTAGCTCGGTGACCATCTGCTCGAGTTTGATGGGCGCGATTCCAAGCAGATTGTTGTCTGACTCCCATTGGATGGAATTCAGGTAAGTCACAACAAGATCCATCCCATCCTCTCCTCGTCTCACATAAATCATTCGCCCTGCATCATTCCGGCAGTCTTCTCCAAAGAGTACATCAAAACGGCGATTGAATAGAGATGCAGTGGTGTCATCCTCCGATGGCTTGGAGGAGAGAAGACAAAGGATCTTGTTGTCATTGGGGTCGGGACCAGGCACAGTGTCAGGAAGACGGGGAACAAGATGCGAGATCTCTTTGACAAGCTCGAGGACATGCTTCACTGTGTGAATATGTCAAACGAGAACGCGTGTCAATAGAACACGTCCACATACCAGTCATCCCACGCTTGTGACGTGCATTGGGAGCTTCACCATTGTTCTTGTCAAGAACTTTGGCTGATGGCACACGATCCCGCCCAGGCAAGGAAGTCTGGAGAGGCTTTGGAGTGGACATCAAGTTGCACAATTACAGCGGTTCCCAAAAAACGTGAGACTTGCAAATATACATATATATATATGTTTTGTATGCATAAACACGATCGATCTTTGATGCACACCTGTCTAGGATAAGGGGCTGAAGCAAATAAACTCGTGATAGATGTAACTGGGATAGTCCACAACCAGCCCAAGAACACGGAATCTAAGCGGTGCACTTGTTCTAGAAGACAAGATCTCCACCAAGCCGAGGTCCAGCAGCAAGGTTTTCTAATTGTTTATTTGTTTGTTTACTGTTTATTTACTGTTTGAGGACCTCCGTAAATGAAACAGAAACATAAACAGTGGAAACTGTTTAAAATATTTTAAAACGGAAACAGTTGGAGCCTTATTGGCCAATCGAGCACGTCGTATTCCAAAAGTATGACACGGTGGGTTGACTCACATCGAAAGTACCATATGGACAATGGGGTGGGGTCCTGATCAGTCAAGACCTGTCTGATTGTTCAACTTTCATTACCATAAAAAGTAGCTGATCTTAGATAGTGTAGCTACTATGCAGTTGTACAGGACTTTACTAAGCACCATCGTAGACAGTATAAGTAGGGCGTTGTTTCTTTGTATTGGGGAGCTTTGCCCTGGACTGTGAATCATACCCATATCAGATCATTTTTGTCAGGGGAACCCCTGCTTTCGTCCGATCATCATGGGATCTCGCATGTGACTGCGCACGTGCCATCTGTCAAGCGTCACATGCTTCGGTCCGGACTTCCCTGCCAAGCGCATTCACATGACACTCCGGCCCGGACCCCCATTGTTCCAACGGTCTGGGTCCCATTGTTCCCCCCGATCCGGCCCCTCATTGTTCCCTGGCCCCATTGTCTGGCGCTTCCATTGTGCTTGGTCATCCATTGTTCTGTAGGCTATATATAGTGGGCCCTGACAAGGAGAGTCCCCAACTTGGTTTCTCTTTGGACTCTCCCTTGTCAGGTTTGCCAGTCTCCTGTACTAGTCGATCCCCTTATCTGACGCTTTGGACTCTCCCTTGTCAGGACTCTGAGATCGGGCCTCGAGGTTGCCCTTACAATTTTATACAATTTGCGTGTTGCATGATTCCGCCTTAAGAAGTTCTATTATCCCTACCTGGTTGCAACAAGTTGCTCCCTGAGCACTTATAGCTACTGTGATTTGAGTTTTGAGTTGAGACATCAGAAAGTCAGATTCGCCGCTTCTGGTTTAGTCACGGCACTTTGTGTCGTTGCCTTTGGGCTTTGTTGAGATTGTTTCCACACTTCTTGCTTGGCAGTGCGTCGACAAGTTGTGCTTGGGTTTTGGACATTTGGATATTGGCTGTTAGTTGGCAGTGCGTCGACACAGCATTTTGGTTTGCTACTTGGCAGTACATTGACTCAGTACTTTGGTTGTGTCAGTTGGCAGTGCATTGACTTGACATTTTGGTTGTATCGGTTGGCAGTGCATCAACTTGATATTTTGGGCTTTGCGTTACCATCTGGACGCTGTCGCTTCGAGGGATCTGAATACTCCATATTAAGTTCTGACTTGTGATATTGTTGGTGGTGGCTGGATTAGTGTTGGTTTTGACTGTATAGAAGATATTGGTTGAGACACCATTGTTTGCTATATATAAATTCTTGCGCGTCAACTCTGTCTTCTGCGACTATTGGATCCCGTGTCTATTGAGAGTTGTGATACTGGTGCTCTGTCCACTTCAAAGCCCTCGCATCTTTCACACACTGAGAAGCTGATTACGAGGAGTGTGAACGTGTTTATATTTGGGTTTACTTCATAGTAGATTCACTTATGATGGCCTCAGTCCCTTGTGAGCTCTGGGTTCACACAGTCCCAACAATCTGTTGAAGCTTGTTTGTATTAGCGACTATCACAGTATGTAGACATGACATCATAAGTAGTATTCTTAGATTACTTTGGCTTGCTCCACAATGACCTCATACCTGACCTCATTATTGCGTCATCCATTACTCATCTATGATATCATTACTCCACTATGACATCATGATATCTGCTCCAGACTGGTATATAAACCTAGTACTATACGCTCCATATCCTCAGCTCCTGTGTCTTACACTCGCTGAGGTATGCATTCTCCCTTACGATCTAATGACCCTTACTTATGACTTGTACCACAGACTCTGTGTCTTTAGGTACAGCTAATGTATAGCTCCTGTGTCTTACACTCGCTGAGACTCTGTGTCTTTAGGTGATCGCTACTGGTCGTATCTCCACTGCGCGGTATTGTCTGCGACAGGTTATGGGCCCCGCCTGAACCACTAGCGGCAAATCAAGAAACATCGAACTACTCCCTTTACTAAGGCGAGTATCTTTCACTCGTTCAGCCCTTCTAGAGCGCCGTCTTTGTGCGCTCGTCCCACTTGCTGGATGTCGGTCCTCGCATTTGTGCTCTCACCCTCAAGGGGTTACGCGAGCGGCGTCAGGGAGTCATTCAGTTGGCAGACGCGCCGTTAGCTATTCCGTCCATGATTGCTCGCGCGCGTTTTACGTTACATCTTTTTATTGTACAGCGGACATACCCACCAGGCACTGGTCCTTTGGTCAATCCCACTCCTGAACCTTGCGCGAAGCGCCTAGGTGGTGTGGTAGCTCTCAACAGCTGCTGGAGGTCAATCCCTCCGCCAGGCAAAACAATCCTTCGGGGTTGACTCGCATTCCTCACAAGGGACCCTGCGGGCTGGTGACACTACGAGGATTCATGCAATGACGCTCTGCGTGTATGCATGTCTTTAAAAGGGAGAAGATGGGCGGCCAAACCCGGTGCTTGGGACGGCCTTGGGCACGTGTCCCTTGGCCAGTGACGGACTGCGAGGGCAGTAATCACCGTCGGGTACTGCCGCCGCTGACGTATATAGTTACGTTACTTTGATACAAATATGGACACTTACTATACCGCTTTATTTCGTTATCATTCCCCGCGCGTATATGGGCATCATGGATGGGATGGGGACGCTTGGTCGTTCTCGTTTCAGAGATTTGGCACTTGGGATTTGTTTCTTGGTCTGCAGAGAATCTGGGGCTGACTTCGTCGCTCTAGTCTTCATCTCTATCACCCTGTCATCACCAGACAACCCTCCCGTTGGGGTCATCCTATTTCCTGTTGTCCGTTGGGCTCAGGGACCTTCTTACACTACCCTTCAAGACACCGATTGGGAAGACCTATACGAACTTGGTGAACACGACAACGAAGATCTATTTCACCATCAGGACAATTGGACTCCTGAGCTTCGGTCCCTATTCGGTGATCCTCCCTATATCGAATTCCCCTCTCTCCACTATCAAACCGCCGACGTTATCGAGTATCTCCCCACCATGTCGGGAATCGAGAAACTCAACAACTCCATTCTGAGTGTCTTCGATGGCACCAATTGGAATACGTGGTCGGACAACTACATGAGCATCTGCATGCATCAGGGCACCTGGGGAGTGGTTAAACCCACTCATATTATGGTTAACGGCACATCTACCTCGAACCCTGGTTCTATGGAGCGTCCTGGAACGGCTGGTGACAGCCAATATCAATGGGACGTTGCCAATGAAAAGGCACTGGGCCTTGCGCGGGTTTATATCACCCAGAATCTGCGCAAGGGAATCTTTATGGACGGTCAGCGGGAGCGCACTGCGCGCGAGGTTTTTGCGAAGATGGCGACGGATTATGGCCAACCAAATGCCATCGATGCTTTTGTCGAGTACCGCCTCCTGAACACCACCACCTTCCACGGTGGTGATACCATTGAAAAGCAAATCATGGAAATGGAGACTCGTTGTCGCCAGTGTTCGGAAGGAGGAATCGAGATCCCCGACTACCTCTTCGCAACTCTAATGCTCGCCGCTTTGCCCGCTTCCAGCAGAGGTTTCGTCACCTCTTACCTGGCCAATCATCCTATCGCTTCTCTGAACCCAGTCGATGTCAAGAACAGCGTCATAGGGAATATCAAGATCGAGAACCTCGACACGACGTCGAACTCGAAGATTTCCACCGTTCCGTCCCTTGCCACCCGCTGCACTCATTGCAACAAGTCCGGTCACGTTGCGGCATCCTGCTACAAGAAGTATCCCAACCTCAAGCCGACTGGTCAATCTTCTGACAAAGGCAAGGGGAAGCAGGATGAGGGGAAGAAGAAAAAGAAGAAGGAAAAGAAGAGCGGTGATGGTACTAGCGCTGTAAAAGAAGTTGTAGCCGCTCCCGCGGTTGCGGCTGCCTCCAATGGAATGCACATTTTGTCCTATCTCATGAGTGACTCCCTCAAACACATCGATGATGGAATTTTTGTTGAAGAAATGGGAGACGACTCCAAAGTTCGTTTTCTATGGGACTCGGGTTGTACGCATCATATGACAAACACCCAATCCGATCTTCACAACATCAGACCTATCGACAACTATGTAATCGTTGGGTCGGGAGCTCGCTTCAAGAATGAAGCCGTTGGAGATATTGTGTTGCGGGGTCATACTAGTAGTGGCATGGACTACACCTTCACGCTGAAGGATGTCATCTACAACCCGCACATAAGAGGGCGTTACCTTTCTGGGTATGCGCTCGATCAGGCTGGTTACTACACCGTGGTTGGTGACAACAAGGCAATCCTAGTCACCAAGGATTGGCTCAACAAGGGAAAAGCGCATGGGGATGTCTTGATGACCTTTAGAGCAAGCAATCGCTGCTACTGGTACTACCCCGAGGAGCTCGTGGCACCATCTGTGTCTGCATCTCACGAGTCTACCGCGCTCGCTTCCCTGGAAACTACCGATCGTGAATTGTGGCATAAGCGTTTTGGTCATGCGGCTCGGAGGACCCTTACTCACTTGCCGACACAAGTTGAAGGTGTTCCCCCCTTGCGACGCAATAAAGACCAGCGCGGCATGTGCGATGGATGTATGCTTGGAAAACAGCACAAGCATCCGTACCCTGCATCAGAGAAACGTGCTAGCAAACCCCTCGAGCTTATCCACACTGATTTGATGGGCCCCTCGCCTACTCAGTCGTTGGAAGGTTCACGCTACACAATTTTGTTCTACGACGATTTCTCAAGCTTTGGCATGATGGTGTTCATTAAATCAAAGGACCAAGCCTCTACCGCGATTAAAAACTTTGTTGCCCTTGTAGAGCATCAGCTCAGCACAAAAGTACTGGCCTTCCGGTCAGATCGTGGAGGTGAATATATGTCCAATGAACTCACAGCCTGGCTCAATGCACGTGGTATTATGCACCCTAAGTCCGCGCCACGCGAACCACAGCAAAATGGGAGGTCTGAACGTTGGAATCGCACAGCCTACGAGAAAGCAGAATGCATGCGCCTCGATGCCGGCCTATCCAAAGGCTTCTGGCAATGTGCTATGGATGCATCTGTCCACGTTCATAATAGACAACCTATGGCACAATTGGGATGGCGAACACCTGCGGAACTGTGGCTTGGAAAGAAGCCAGACGTCTCTTATTTCCGTGTGTTTGGATGCAAGGCGTCTCTCTATGTGGATGTTGAAAAACGCCCGAAAGGGCTGGAGCATGGACGCCCCGACCACATCTTCGTTGGATACGAACGAGAGACAAAAGCTTGGAAAGTGTGGGATCCGAATCAACGCAAAATACGAGTCTCTTCAAATGTTGAGTTCGATGAGCGAGTATTCCCTGCCAAGTCCAAGCTAGTCACCGGCAATGTGTTCTCTGGACCGGAGCCGTTCACACCATTCGAGGAAACCTTCCCTGACCTTATCAATAATCCTGCGCCTGCAACGCCTTATGCAAGCATACCACCTCCTGCTCTCCCACCGCCCCCGGCACCCCTCGCGCAACAAGGTCCTGTCACGGGATCGCGAGAAGTACCCCTAATGCCTGGCCCAATAGACGATCGCCCGATTGCCCATCGCCGCCCTCGTCGGAATAAACCCCGCATTATGCCAGATGGAACTACGTATCAGAGGCCTAACAGCATTGAGTCCATGTTTTCAGCTGCCCAAGCTGAACATGACTTGCCTCAAAACGTGCGGGACGTAGCAAAGAGCCCGGATGCACTCAAGTGGGAGCGCGCGATGCGCGAAGAACTGGACTCTCTCGAGGAAAACTGTACTTGGGATTTGACCAGCCTTCCACGCGGTCGAAAGACTGTAAAATGCAGATGGGTGTTTAGCAGGAAGCGTGACGGTTGTTTCAAAGCACGACTTGTTGCCAAGGGATTCACTCAGGCTCATGGGTTTGACTATGATGAGACCTTCTCGCCAGTATTGCGCTACGAATCTTTGCGCATACTTATGGCTCTGGCTGCTCTCAAAGATTGGGAGATTCATGCCATGGATGTCAAAACGGCATTCCTAAACGGGGATCTGGAGGAAGAAATCTATATGGAACTTCCGGAATTACCCAAAGGTTTCTCGTCATGGCCAAAAGAAAAGGTGGCACGCCTTCGTAAATCACTCTATGGGTTGAAACAGGCGTCTCGTCAGTGGAATATCAAAATCCACAATGCCCTCCTCGAACTTGGTTTTGCTCGGACATACTCCGACGCCGGTGTCTACACATATCGCCAACAAATGGGAGATACGGTCATCATCTTGGTGCTGTATGTTGACGATATGCTCATTATGGGCAACAATCTGCCGGAGATAGCGCGGATCAAATCATTGCTAGCGAACCGCTTCAAAATGACAGATCTTGGTCCTGCGAAGGATTTCCTTGGTCTGAACATAGTTCGTGATCGCAAAGCGCGTAAAATCTGGATCGATCAGACTTCCTATATCGAAGGAGTTCTAGAACGTTTCCGGATGTCTTCGTGTAAAGAAGCTCGTACTCCCCTGCCTTCCGGCATCGTGCTCGAGAAGCATGATGGAGAAGTTGATGAAGACCGTCGTACCCGATACCAGCAACTGATTGGCAGCCTTCTATACGCCATGCTTGGTACTCGCCCCGACATTGCCTATGCAGTCATCCGTCTATCAAAGTTCAACAGCAACCCGTCAGAACATCATTGGAACATGGCAAAATACATACTCCGGTACCTTCAGGGCACCAAAAACTACCAACTTTGCTATGATGGTTCCACTGGCGCAGGCCTTATCGGTTATTCCGATGCTGATTGGGCGGAGAACAAAGACGACAGGCATTCAACCACGGGATATTCCTTCTTCATCGCCGGTTGTGCAGTGACCTGGGTTTCTAGACGCCAACCCACGGTCGCTTTGTCCTCAACAGAGGCCGAATACATGGCTCTGAGCGATGCTACGCGCCAGATTGCCTGGATCCGCACTTTGTTGACTGAGCTCGGATATGACTTGCCATCCACGCCTCTTTGTGTTGATAACCAAGGCGCTATCTTTATGGCAGTAAATCCAGTTCATGATAGGAGGACGAAGCACATCGACATCCGCTATCACTTCGTACGAGAATCCGTCGAAGCTGGCAATGTCCAACTTTACCATGTGCCGACTGATGCGATGATCTCCGACACGCTCACAAAGTCTCTGGCATGGGTGAAGTTCCAACAACATCGGCTGTCTTTGGGTCTTCGTGATCCGACTGTTTAGTCGAGTGGGAGTGTTGAAGCTTGTTTGTATTAGCGACTATCACAGTATGTAGACATGACATCATAAGTAGTATTCTTAGATTACTTTGGCTTGCTCCACAATGACCTCATACCTGACCTCATTATTGCGTCATCCATTACTCATCTATGATATCATTACTCCACTATGACATCATGATATCTGCTCCAGACTGGTATATAAACCTAGTACTATACGCTCCATATCCTCAGCTCCTGTGTCTTACACTCGCTGAGGTATGCATTCTCCCTTACGATCTAATGACCCTTACTTATGACTTGTACCACAGACTCTGTGTCTTTAGGTACAGCTAATGTATAGCTCCTGTGTCTTACACTCGCTGAGACTCTGTGTCTTTAGGTGATCGCTACTGGTCGTATCTCCACTGCGCGGTATTGTCTGCGACACAATCCACGTGGCTCCGGTTGCCTGGCCTGTATAGCACCACATTCCGAAACGCCGCAGTCTGCGTTGGACATGAGCACATGAAAATATTAAACAGAATCCTCCCTTCATCGAAGCGGCTTCAAATAATAAGCGCCACAAAGTATAGGGTTGAAGATTTGGATTGTATTCTAGTGTAGTCTTCAACATCAGCTGTGCTGTCGGATGTCACTGGACTTCAATCACCAGGGAATATCAATCCCCCTCCGCTGATCATGATGGGACTGCGCCCAGTAGGACTCCTCTTAAAAATGGGACCGGAGCCGAGTCCTACTCGATCAAAACGCAATCCCACTCCTACAAGTCTTGTATATACTTGAGATAGAGGTTCTCGGCCTGATTTGCCCTATTTCCCAAACTGAGATGTAGCCATTTTGGAGCTTTGATGTGTACTATTTCGGATTGTGTTGGCAGATAGTGGCTGGGGGCCTGAGCAAAGAGACCCTGATGCGACCAGCGGGACGTCCGACGACGTGTTTTACGCTTATTTATAGCAGGGTGTTGTCGAGGTTACCGACTGATCCGTCTCCATATCGGCGCGATTCTTCTCACCCATGCGACGGAACTGTTGAATGGTCGGGTGTTCGGTTTGGTATTTTCGGTGGTGGGAGGTAATGTTCTGCTGGAACTATGAGTATCGAGTCTATCGACGAAGTATTCGGCCGTTGATGTCATCTTTCTGACTCGTTCCGTTCATATTTACCCGAACCGCCCGGAAGAATCCCGCTTGACTGATATGCGGGAAGACTGAAGCCCCTTCAAGCTTAGTTACGAGATCCAAAGGAGTCCTTACCCCCGCTAGTGCTTTTTTCCGACACGAGAACTGCGCACAGACGGAGTCCGAGCTTCACTTGTGGTGTATACAGTACACGGATGATGTCATCACACTCGTGCCACGATCGGGTATCGCCGAATGATCTCCGTGCGTCTTCTTTCTCTCTCGCAACCTTATTCATCTTCGCGATGATTGTCTCTGATCTTGCATTGCGCCTCAAGGGGAATTGTGGTTAATTATAGGAGGGCATAAGCACTAGGAGAAATTCGTAAGGACGCGATATCCAACTGTACACCAGCTCCACTGCCCAGCATCAGTTGGACTGGTCACCGGTCACCAGGGACCTCTCAACCGATCCAAGACCGGGTCACCTGTCACCTAACGCCTCGGATGGAGTGTCAAAAAAGCTAAAATCTTGTCAATATCTCTCATACTCGCTTCTTCTCCAGTTTTGTTGTGGTTTCACACCTTTCTGTCCGTTTCCGCCTGAAACCCACCAAATCAGAGAACATAAGACGGAAAACAAGCATGTTCGGTCTCGAATAATATCCGGAAATCGGTTGACACCGGTCACCAGGTCCCCAGACCAATCAAATCTGGAAGTGGAGTCGTCATCCGTCGCCAGCGGCCAACCTACAGTCGACATGTTACATCCGTCGCAGATCATGGTTCGAAACTCTCGGAGTCTGTTCTCGATTCGGGGCCCGCTAGAAACCTGAGAAGTTGGTCCACCGCTTTCTGGAGCGACAATCAACGCCTGACTGAGCGGGCCGGCAGTATAGCACATGAAGGAGGAGTAGGCCCATATCCTTAGCGGGTGCGGTTTTCGGTATCACCAGGTCCGTTCTCGTGTTTACTACCGGATAAAAGCAGGATATTCATCATCCTTAAAAGCCAGCTGCGCCTCTCGTCGAAGGACCAGCGACTACTGAAATCATCATCTGGCAGCGAAAACGATGCTCGCTTCCCTCGCTTCCCTCGCGGTCCTCGCCCTCGCGGTCCCGGCCCAAGCATTTATCGAGTGCAACGTGCTGAACTACGGCGCGGTTGCGGACAACAAGACGGATATTGGCCCTGCCTTGAGTGCGACGTGGACACAGTGCGTTATTCCGAACGTGAAGACCACCGTCGCCACCGACGTTCTGCTTTACGTGCCGGCCGGAAACTTCCTGCTGGCGTCGAATGTCCTGTTCAACCATGCTGCGAACTGGAACCTGCATCTCGCGGGCAATTTGTATTTGCCGTACGACCCCAACCTCGGCGGAACAATGCTCCAGTGGCAGGTGTGTGAAACAACCACGGTTCATATCATGGACGATCGTGACATGTGGCTATCTTCCTCCAGAACTGCAACAACATCCTCGTCAACGGTCCGGGCTCAATCTACGGGAATGGATTGCGATACCGCCCGAACAACGACGTGCGTTGAGTGGCTTGGCGACAGCGTATTGGGGCTTACGTGTTGAGTAGTTGACCCTCCACCCCGGTCGTCCTCGGCTCCTGCGGTTCCAGAGCTGCAATAAGTGCGTATTTAACTCTGTTGCATGTGTCGGCGGCGGCTGATTCTCGTTCTCAAGTGTCGAGCTTACGCAGATCACGCTGTTCGACTCTCCTCAGTTCCATGTGACCATTATCGGCGACAAGTGTGTGAGCAAGCGTCTCATGAATGTCCCGACTGACGCCGTTACTTAGCAATCTCGTCCATAACATGGCCATCCGAGCAACCGTTGTCGGTAAGGGCTAGTGCCTCCGCCATTCAGTACACCAGTTTAGACGTCCTTTTAGGTGAAACGGATGGATATGATATCAGCGGAAACAACAAGTATGTGGATCCCTGATTGGGATGACGACCCGGTGTCTGACGAGGTCCAAGCTACGTGCACGACGTCAGCGTCCAGAACGGTGATGAGGTGCGGAAACATCACCTTCTAAAAGGAGGCATAGTACTCATCAAGCGCAGTGTGTCACTGTCAAAACGCCAACCAACGTCAGCCTCGCGCGATATCGTCCCGTCGAATTTGTTCGCTGATACCGTCCCATCAGGGTTTCCGCGCGGAGAACATCCAATGCATCAACACCGCTGGGTGCAACATCGGCTCGTTCGGCGGCGGAGACACTACCGTCAATGTTCAAAACGTCGTATACACGAACGTGACGGTATCCAACTCAGACGCCGGCATCATGATCAAATCTTACCCGGACAACATTGGCATCGTCAAGAACATCACCTACAACCACTTCACCTTCGTTCGTGCTGCAATCGATTGTTTGGGACATTTGATTCTGATGGCATCCGTTTACAGAGCAAGGCTGCATACCCGCTATGTAGGTGCAGGAAGTAACCTGAGCTCTGCGACGCTAACAGGTCTATTTTAGACATCAGCGCCTTTTGGGCCGGCAACGGCGTGGATACAGGCAAGCTCCAGATTTCGGACGTCACCTTCAACGGGGTCACGGTGGGCCCAACAACGCGCTTGTCTCCAACGTCTCTGACTCTCTTTTAGGGAACTGGCACACCCACTCGCCCTGCAGTCTTGCTCAACTGCAACAAGGCTACACCTTGCAAGAACATTGTGGTGAGCCATTCTCCCATTCTCATTCGTCGCACATTTACGAAACGCATTGCCCAGTTCAAAGGCGTTTCGCTGTCGGGAACCAAAGCCAACAGCTATACCAACGCTTGCGGGTCGGGTCTTTCTGGATTGCCGGGTTGCTAGATGTAAAGAGTGGTGGCTTACCGGCCTGCTCATCAATGTATTTGTCTTGGAATTGCTTCGAATCGCAGCTGGAACGTCAAGTATGCCGTGCGTGTTGAGAAAAAATGAATGCATGCCGGTCGGGAAAGCGGATCTGAATTATCCGGGCTGCGGCTTCGGTGGGTTCAGGTGATGGGAATCTTGGGGAAACTGTGGCTCCGCATGCCAAGCGACTAAGCGAAATCACGGGCTGATGAATCATCATGATGTTGAGTTCCGGCCGGCTTGCTTTATGCTGCATCAAACACTGCAAGGTACAGCACGCCTCGTGCCAGGGCTCATGGTCAGTTTGCGTGGATTAGCTCGGACGTAGGGACACTCGGAACCGCAGCCCGAGCATGAGCCAGTCATCTCCGCGCATCTCGCGCTCCCACGTCAGCCAGCGAACGAATCAGACGGGACCAATTGACGCAATCAGCGAATCTGATCTGCTCCCAGAAAGGAAATCGGGCTGGCGCATGCCAGCGATAGGGATCATCAACCAATCAGATGTGATCGATAGCAGAGTTCTTCGTGTTCTGGACCGGTCCATGGCGCTGACGGCCATGCGGACGCGAAGATACTTTGGCGCTTCGCTCGCTCGTTTTGAGCGGGCTCACGGAGTTTAGCACTCTCAAGGACAGAGAGCGTGAGTGAATGAAGCCAAATTGAGCACGCATCAGCAGGTCACTGCAGGCTCAAATGCCGTGATGGCCAGGACCCGTGTGTGGAGATTCTCCGCTTACTCTCCGCGACTCCCGCTGCGATAAGAACGTGCGCGTCGCCCGGTGATGGCCGCCGATCCGAGGACCTCGATGGGAACTATTTCCCTGATGGGGATCACGATGGACCCAGCACAACGGTACGAGCCAGCTCATCACAACACGTGCAGGCTTCAAAAACCGGCGCCCGAAAATTTTCTCTGCCTCTCTCCTTTGATTCATCATCATCAGATCTCACATCATGGATCAGCAACCACAGCGAAGGTGGGTTGGTTATAAAAGACGGAGACATCCCCCCAACTGATTCCCTTCCCTCCGCATCTGATTTCACAGCCCGGAGATCGAGGACGAGCAAGTGCGAACGCGATCGCCACCAACGTCCGATACGCGCAGCAACATCGATCCCGCCGCGTACAACAACTTCAAGGGCGAAACCACCAGTGCCACGCCAAACGAAGACAAAGAAGACGTGAAGATGTCCACCGCAGCTGCCCCTCCTCCCACTGCGGCCTCTGCCCAGCCCAAGCCCGCGTACGCATACGCGCCGCCTCCCACGACCGTGCCTGCGAAACATCGTCGATCGCCGCACGAGCGTCCAGCCTCAGGTCAAGGCCGGACACCCCCACCAGCAGCAGCTCCAGCCCCTGCTGCCTCAGCCGCAGGCCCAGGGTCCCCTGCGCCCGGCGCTGACCGCTCCGCAGCACCCACCCCTCCTGTACCGGGCCGTCGCACGCCCCCACCGCCCTCAGCGGCCCCGCCACCGCCGGCGCCCCACCACTACCCTGCTTACGAGCTGCCGCGGGGGTACCCTCAGGGCTACATGTACGCGCCGCCGCCGCCGCCTGGTTACCACCATCCCCCGCCCCACCCGGACGACCCGCGGTATGCAGCGCACGGGCACCCCGGGTACGCGCCGCCGCCGCCACCCCCGTTCATGCACCACCCCGGCTACGTGCCGTACCCCATGATGACGGCGATGCCGCCGCCAGGTGCG